ATAGTGAGTGGTTTTGCTTCTGCGAGTGGACTGTGAGGGTTGACACGCACTAGCTGGCCGTCCACCTCACGCTTTACGTGCGGCTTTCGACCACATGATTCACCAGGGCCGACTCGTTGAGTGCGCAGCGGGCACAAGGGCCGCTGTACTGGGAGAGATAAAGGCCTGGGTTGACACGCACACCACATCCACAATGGCTGCCCCACCACCCAACAGACAAAGCCCCACCCCAGCTTCTCGCATATTGTGGATTAAGGGTGAAGCAGGAACTGGAAAAAGCACCATTGCATACACCGTCGCCAGACACTGTCGGCAGGCGAATGTGCTTGGAGCCTCTTTCTTCTGCACACGAGAAGATGGCACCTGCAGCGAGCTTGGCCTCGTATTTCCAACCATGTCCTATCAGCTCAGCCTCTTCCACCCACCTTTTGGTGAAGTTGTCACTCAGGTGTTGAACAGCAATCCAGGGGCTGCATACACCAGACCTCTATTTCAACTTGAGGACCTAATCGTGAAGCCTCTTCAATCCGAATCAGTCCGCAATTCATTCCCCCCCTGTGTGGTTATCTTGGATGCACTGGATGAATGCAAAGACACTGGATCCAGATCCACCATTCTCTCTGCACTAGCTGGCCATATTCATAATCTTGCTCCTATCAGCTTCATCATCACCAGTCGTCCCGAGCATTCAATTGAACTCGGCTTCAACATACTGGACCTGGTCCCTTGTACCCACCGCTTACATTTACGAGCTGCAGTAGCAGAAACAGTGCTGCTTGAGGACATCAAGCATTACCTCAAGTTTGAACTGGCAGAGATCAAGATATACTTCCGGATTGTCAACTTATGGCCACCGGAAATGGATGTTCAAATATTGGCCCAACTTTCCTCCGGCCTATTCATATTTGCTGCCACCTCGGTGAAATTCATTGGTGATAAAGTACATTGGAATCCAGTGAAACAACTTCAACGGCTCATTGACCAAACTGCTCCATCTCTCGAGGAATCATCGCCTCTTCACCAACTTGACATGTTGTATAGCCAGATATTGAATCTTGCATTTCCACAGCTCTCCATTGAAGCTCTCCGCTACCTCAAGATGGTGGTGGGCTCAATTGTCATGGTCAAGAAGCCACTCTCTCCAGCTGAACTTGAGAAGCTTCTCAGATTACCTGATGGCCGACTCAGGCAGATATTGCTGCACTTGCACTCTTTAATTGTGGTTCCGGAAAATGACACCGATGTCATTCGTCTCCTACATCCTTCCTTCTTCGATTTTATCACCTCGGACACTCGCTGCTTGCATAAGCAGTTCCTGGTAAAGCCAGCAGAGCAGCATATACTTCTTGCAATGTGCTGCCTTCAGGCTATGAAGAGCCTTTCTCGAGATATCTGCCAAATCCGTAATCCTTCACTTCTCAACACGGAGATTGATGATCTGTCGGCACGTATTGATACACACATACCGCAGTACCTTCAGTATGCTTGTCGCTACTGGGAGCAGCATATTTCGCAAGGAAAGAGCATTGTTTCAGATGCTCTTCTGGAGCTATTGGATCAATTCTGCTTAAATGATCTCCTCCATTGGATAGAAGTTTGTAGTTTGTTAGGAGAGCTTAGGCAAGCACTTATATCCATTACTGCCATGGTCTCTCTGTATCAGGAATTCACGGTATGTCTCTTCGGATTTGAATTCAAACGGTATTCATATTACATGTAGGCAGCCAAGAGACCAACAGCAACCCCAATTACCTTTGGCCTTTTATGTGACTGTGAACGATTCATACACCACTTCTTTCCAGTTATTGGCGACTCTGCTCTCCATGTCTATCATTCTGCGCTGTGGTTGACCCCACGCAACACATTAATTTGGGAGCATTACGGCAAAGAAATGCCATTGCCTTTCAAGATTTACAATGCCGTTGAATCAATGTGGACAAGGTGCATTATGATCATGGAGGCTTCGGACCAAGTGGCCGCTGCACTATTTTCTCCAAATGGTGCATTCATTATTTCGGGGTCACACAGGGATATGAGACTTCACTTGTGGGATGTGATTGGTGGTCTGTGCCTCAAAACTCTTGAAATGCCACTCCCTTCACATCCTAAAATGGGCTACCTTTCTGGTACCTCAATGGCTTTCTCCCCAGACAGTACTCAAGTTCTGTTTTCATCACGTGGACAGACATATAGCTGGGATTTCACCACTGGGGAGTGTCAAATAGCCTTTAGTGAGCCTCAAAGTGCTGTTACAACCATTGCTTTCTCTCCAGATGGCACAAGTGTCATTTGTGGGTATGCAGATAACAGGCTGTGCAAATGGGATGCAAAAACTGGCGGCCATCTTTGCACATTTGATGGTCATGCACGTGAGGTCACATCAGTTGTCTTCTCCCAGGATGGCAGTTATATTGTGTCTGGGTCATCCGACAACACAGTTCGATTGTGGGATTCAAGGAATCCGGTGACTCTGAAAACCTTCAGGGGCCATACAGGGTCGGTTGTGTCTGTTGCACTACGTGCTGATGGGGCACAGCTTGCATCTACATCTGACAAGACTGTGAAACTGTGGAATACAGGAACTGGTTCCCTTGTCTGTACCCTCAAGGGACATTCACAATTTGTTACCAGTGTTGAATTCTCGCCGAATGGGCAATTCCTGGTATCAGCCTCCGATGACAACACAATTAGAACCTGGGATACCCAGAGTGGTGCCCTTATACTTCTTCTGGAGGGGCATACAGCCCGTGTTACATCAGTCTCGTTCAATCTGGACGGAACACATATATTGTCTTCTTCCTCAGACCGCAGTGTCCGTTTGTGGGATGTTGTCGGTCCTGAGAATCGAAGTGACATTTCCAGACACATTAATTCTCTTAGTATCATTCAATTTTCCTCTAACGGGAAATATATCATGTCTATGGATCGCCGAAACAGGAAAGATACAAGTGTGCGTGTGTGGGATGCAAAGACCGGTTCATGCATCTCATTAATGGCAATGCTTAAATCACCTTTCCATGCACTTATATCACCAGACGGAACTGTGGTGGCCTCTATTTCTGAGAAACTAGCTGGTGTACAGCTCAATGATGCAACCAGTGGTAGACTTCTTACCATTCTCCAGGGTGGTCATTCTTTTTGTCATTGCATTGCATTCTCCATGGATGGACAGTCACTTGTGGCTGGCATAACAGATGGACGTATTCTGCTGTGGGATATAGATACCGGCAACCACCGCACATTCAAGGCTCCTGAAGGGATGTCCTTGGCCTACGACATTGCATTCTCAGAGGATGGAACTCGCATCATGACAGCTGTGCGGGGGCATAAGGTCAACACAAGGACAATTAATACGTGGGATGTCAGCAGTGGGAATCTGCTTGAAACCAAACTCACTGAACCTGGAATGGTATTATCCACCAACGGTAGCTTGGTCCCAGTCATTGGCAAGCCCTACGTGATGACGGAGGGCTGGATATATTCAACGGCTCAGAATCGGCGTATCTGTTGGATTCCAGTTGACTGCAGGCCATCTTATGGAAAAACTCTGGATGTATTCAATGACCAGGTCGCGATCGGAACAGACGATGGAAAGGTTATATTGTTCGACTTCACAGACATTGACTCATACTACAAGAGTCTGGAGTGATTTTTCAAGTTTGTGGAAAGAGGATAGGTACACACTTATTTATTTAAATGGAATTTTGCCTGCGACTCCTGTCATTAGAGCCAAATTTTGCTGATATGTAGTTGAAATCTTCACTCCGTTACTTTCAGCATGGACGGTAAACATTGTGGGATTGTTCTCCAAAGCGAATAATATGGAATTTTGTATGCCGGTACCTGGCTATAGTTGGGGAAGCATTTCTGGTCGCCATTTTATCATTTACATAGGATCAATATATTGGTCAAATAATACTTGATTTCATCCGTGTGGAGGACATTTGGACTTTGATGTTTGCAATTGTCCAATTGGACTCGATCCTGACCTGAATACGAAAGTCATCTTGCAGAGGTTGCTGCCCCGCACCAATATCTAGTTAAAACAGTATGTATGACAGATCTTGCAGTCAAAGTGAAAGCTATATATCTTTCGAAAAAAATCCAGCCCCTAAACAGGATGCCCTTGGTGGAGAATTGAACACACACCTTCTGGCGCAAAATTTCACCCTTATTGACAACAGACAACTGCCATGGTCCACGAGGGCTTACTGATAGGGTTCATTGGTTTGGGTATATGTTCGTTGTTTCATTGTGTACACAGAGGTGCGGTGAATTTACACATGTATAGAGTATTTCCAAGAGAAATTAATTTGCGGAGATGATGAGTTCCAGGAAAAGATAGAATTTAATAATTTGGTTCACGAAGAAAGAAGTTGGGCCTATTGTACAATGCCCTCAGAGGGAATCGAACCCTCGTCTTCTGGCCGCAGCGCGTAGTGTGGATGATTTGAATGAGACGACCGCCATGGTCCACGAGGTACATTTGCGGGCTTGGGTATGTATGTGTGCATTGTTTTGAGAGCGCACAGTGAGTTTCACGATGTCGACCATACATTTACAGAGAAATGAGCTGGGGGAGCTTTCTGCGGATAAATTGTATTTGAAAATGTAGACGTCACAGATCATCCACAAATACTGACGTCACTTCGTCAAAAAAAAAAAAAGTGCGTTTGCAATTTTGTTATGCAGAGGGAATCGAACCCACGTCTTTTGGCGGTAATAACAATACAAACAGCTAATTGAACCAGACGACCACCATGGTCTACAAGAGCTTATTTGTATACTTGTGAGCTTGGCCATGTGTGCTGCATTCAAGGGTTGCACAGAGCGCAGGTGCGGGGAATCTTCAACCCGAACCATACATTTACATTGAAGAAAAAATCAACTTGCAAAGGCGCTCAGCCAGCTCTTCCATTGAATTTCGCCTGAGCTGACAGATTTTGAACTAATCTTGAATGTGCTGAAGGGAAAAAAAATCTTCTTCGCACTCTGCTTCATGCCCTCGGAGGGAATCAAACCCTCGCTTTCTGGCCATCCTCCGCGGGTTATTGGTTTCCAATTTGAACCAGACGACCATCATGGTCCACGAGGGCTTATTTGTATCGTTGTGAGCGTGGTTATATGTGCTCGGTTGCACGGCATAGCCGCGGTAACCTTGAAGTATCCTCGCCTCGCTATTGTATTTACAATGAGTGAAATCAGCTTTGCGGAGCCTCGCGTTGAATAAAATCTAACTAAAATAGATCGAAGTCAACAGATCGTGAGCTAATCTTGAACTTACTGAAGGAAAAAAACTTCTTTACGTGGCTAGCCTGATTGATGCCCTCGGGGGGAATCGAGCCCTCACATTCTGATCATGCACTTCCTTGAAGATGAATCGATTCCAGACGACCCCCATGGTCCACGAGCGCTTGGATGTATATCTGTGAGCTTTGTTATGTATGGATTGTTTGACAGTGCAGAATTTCCAGCCCTACGTTGTATTTATAAATTGTGAAATCAACCACCGGAGGCCGCTGCCTTGTAATAAATTCAAACTCAACAACAAATGTGAGAATCTTAGAGTGGCTATGGACCGATTGAAAAAAAAAAAACCAGATCCGAGTCTTCCCTACTGGCCGTGATGGGGCACCGGGTCAGATGGGGTACCGGGTCAAACCGATATCCTGCCAGAATTAGGTAGCTCTGGGCCCAAAGTTAGTAGTACATTATCTTCGTTAGCATATGGCAATATCAGGATATGTTTTGCAGAAGTATCCGACAAAATTTAGGTGAGCACGACGATGATTTTGTCGATGACTTGGTGCATATTGCCATTTTAGGTCATATTCTGAATCTGATCTCCTCCGTTGCTCGCTGTCCGTTAGCAGGTTACCCTCAAAGCTTTTTTTGAGGCTGTACAAGTATATAATGAACATTCCCAGGAAATAAGCTTGCGCATATAGGGCCTACTGAATTCGCAGCATCATGATTTGTCAATGCCAGCAATTTATGAGCTTGCTGCCGTTTAGGCAGACCAATCTGGGCACCAAAAGACAACTGAGGTCGTAATAACTTGCTGGAATCTAATACAAGGGTTACATGAATACTTATAAAAAAGGATGGGCCAAAGGGAGACCTATCGCGGGGTGCACCGACGCGACGAGAAGCAAGTAGGGTCACATCAATAATTACTCTCTAGAATTCTAAGTGGCAGCTTAACAAACAGTCAGTGAGCATAAAAAAATTGAGGTGAATGCCCCGGGTCGTGACAAAAATAATCAGAGCAGTGGCTATTGGCATGATTATGCAAGACGCGACACAAGTGTTCAGACGCGTCGAAATGGGAGGCATTACATAAGTGAATCACACGTCAAAACTGCTGATCGACCAATCGGATGATCCCCATATTTCACGGTTTGGGCAGGAATTTATTCATTACCCAGTGAGTCTCTCATAACATATTTAACTGCTCCTTTAGTACTCATTTATGCAGGACTTGTCCAATTCAGATTTGTACCCAGAGGATCTTATTAGATGGTATTCATCAAAACATTTCAGTTGACCCGGTACCCTGTCATGCCCAGTATTCCTTCGGAGGAAATAGAACCCACGGCTTCCGGCGACTAACGACAAAGAGGTACGGCGCATTTGAACCAGACGACCACCATGGTCTACGAGGGCTTATTGGTAGACTTGTAGACTTCGGTATATGTGGTTTTTTTTCAGGGGCGTACCCACCAAACATTATATTTACGCCGCAATCTTTTCTGCCGACAGAGAGTTGGGCTCACTCGCGATCGGCAAATTGAGGAGTAAGTATTCTATGATTCCGACCGCGATGGTGAGCACTTGTTTTCGTGCAGAGAAGTCTCTGAAACAAGTGCTCGCTACGTAGTTCAGAAAAAAATACATGACGCTGAGCTATGTCTTCGGAGGGAATCGAACCCTCGCACTCTGGCAGTTTGCAACCCGTTTTTCCAATTGAACTAGCACTATGAAGGCAATACAGTATGATTTTCAATAGGCTTTAGGTTGAAAAACAACATTCAACCTATCTTTGACTGGTGTTAGGTTGATTTGTTTCAACCTATTTTTTTGGATGCTTTGTATCCTACTAATATCATCCTATCTAAGTATGGTGAGAAGCCGACTGGCGTTCCGGAACTGATCAACCTATGCCAAATTTCAACCTGTGATAGGTTCATCCGTAGAACTCCACATAATTATCTTTAGCTGCCGGAATTTCTGTACAATACTCAAATGTAGCCATCCTATGAAGCGCCGCCCCCGACGGCGACCCTTAAGTAACTTGCCGGTGGGCAAAGAGGCGAAGTCTTTTTCAAACTCCGCTTGTCCGATCATCGGACAATCAGATCGCGTGACTTTGTCAGATGGTTGACCTGCGCCTCTTGCCCTTCCCCACCACATTGCTGCCACTCCCCCGTCGTTTGCCTCGCTCGAAGTGCTCAAGAACGTCCTCAAGAAGCATCAAAGTTTGCCTCAAGCCTGCCTCGAGCATACTGCCTCTGTTAATCAAGTCTTTGTCACACTGGCACCTTCAAGCTCTGAAGGCACCAATACCTCAAGCAGCGCACTTTGGCGGCAAGCTCTGTCCTCGGGCCCCTTGAACTTCCTTGCTCCCACTCAGACTGTATTCTTGCCTTCATTTTCCCTGGAGTATTCCCACACGCTCGAGCCTGCTCTTGTATTCCCGATCCATGCGCGCTACTTACCCTATGGGGCTTATAGCAGGTGTCCATCGCCTCCCTACATTGTAAGTTTACACTTCACCTCTGCTTTCTGTCCACTGACTGTCCTACAGTAGAATCACCATTGCCCACCGCTTCCTTTTCAGTCAGCCTCGGAGCTACCGAAAGGTTCTGTTGTGCCGATTTTCTGGTTACCCATTTACTGACCATCCTGCAGCGCGTGAGATCTGCGCCGCAGCGTGCAGAACCAACCAAGTCATTGATCTAGCGCCGACGCGGGGGCCTGTTACATCAGGAGGAGGAATGGCGGCGTAGCAGGGTCGTCCTTATTTGTACCCTATATATACGTGAATATAATCGCATTTGGCATTAATAACAACCTAGCGCTGGATGGGAAATGCACTGCAATGCAGGTTAATGAGTTTATTCTAGAGTAGGTTGAACATCAGCGGAATCCCTGACCGCGAGGATAGGTTAAAAATGACGGTTTTTGGTTAGTTATCATCCTATACCGGTCAACCTATGACCGATTGTATTCTAACCTAGCTTCGCTGATTTTCATCCTAAACTGGGTTGTATTATATCCTACTACTGGTTGAAATATAGGTTGATAATCATGCTGTGCGGCCGCCCCAGAGTAGCTAGACGACCACCATGGTCCACGAAGTATTAGATGTACTTTTGTAGGCTTTCTTATGTGAGTTATTTCACAATGCTACCGTGGTGGATTTCGACCTGGATATTATTTCCTGCGAGAGAAGTCAATCAGCTTGGGGATGCTAGTGTTCCGATGAATTCCAACTGTATGTATGTATAACATGGAATGCGGCAGCAATTCTGACTTGCTCACCAGAAAAAAACAAAACATGGTGTTGTTCTGCTTCCACCATATACCCTCGGAGAGAATCGAACCCTCGCCTTCTGGTGGTACAGAAGTTTGCTTCTTTGACTTGAACCAGATGGCTACCATGGTCTACGGGGCCTTTTTATTGGTATCATTTATGACCTGGGATATGTGGGTTGTTTCTATTGCGGGCACAGCGGAGCGGAGGCGAATGGACATCGCCACACATGTGCTATTCTGGAAATAATCATCACCCGTGCGGGCTGTGGAGATTATCGCAGGTGAGAGCGAAGGAAATATTAAAGCAGGCGGTTGGGTGGTCGCACTATCCTTTCCGCAGTTGCGTGCTCTGGCGGCTATCGGCGGGGAGCGGCTGTGCATACGCGCGCTGGGTATGTACCATGGTTCTGGTCGTCGATGTGAGGAGGTGAGATCAGTATTTTTGGGAGTTCTGGTGGGCTAATTAGGCTGAACGTGCGTTGGACTTGTGAATTATGGCAGCCGGATTGCCAGCGGATCAAAAGAAGGGGGGAAAATCCTTGTGAGGATAGCGGTACTGACGGATTCTAAGACCCAATCAAGAGATAGACCGAGATCAAGAATAAAATTGCGCGCGACGTCGGAGAGTCTTGACACGTTCTTTTTCACAGCCCCCGAGCCACGGATTATTTGAGCTTTTGCTTGAACTGCAAGGAACGCTTCATCGAAGTCGGTCCCGGATCAATTCCGCATGTACGTCACCTCCGCAATACCGGAGCTCAGGCCCGGTGGCCCTTGACTCTGCCCACCACCATCCACTGACTCTCGACACTTGACTATGGACGATTATTGTTACACCAGGCTTGCATCCGGTTGCACGTTATTCTTCCTTCTTACTTCTATTACTTGGCTACTTCTACAAGACTGTCGGATATTGATCGGATATCTAATCTATTCTATTCGACACAGCGCAACGCACACAAGAACGCGAAGGGAACGGGCCCAGGAGGAGCAGGGAAGAGAATACGGCGCGTCTGCGTGCGCCGGAGGCTCCGAGGTGCGTTATTTTTTGGGGGCTTACTTGTTTATTCCTCTTTTCATCCGCTTTATTCTGTCTTCTGTGACTTCGCTCCTTTATTCCTCCACACATTCCCCACCTTCTTCCTCCCTCCCTCCCTAATCCTCCCCTTACTCGCCTTCTTAATTCTTTCATTCCTTCCATGCCACCACTTCATTCTATGCACCCCACCCCCCACGTCCCTCATTACTTCGTCCCATTAATCCTTCACCTTCCTTCGCCTCTCCTTATCGCTCGTTCATCTCCCTTTTTAATCCTTTCACGATCGTGAAGGCGTTTATCCGCGCCAGGACGACGCCGTTTATCAGCACGGCTATCCCGGTGTCTCCCCGCCGCAGGGTAAGTACGCATCCCCTTATCACGGTGGGATCGTCGACAGAACGTCGGTGGTGACACAACGCGAGGGCTCCTCCCCCGTGCGGCGGCCTACAACGACGACGACGCGAGCCTCACCCCGCGGACCCTTTCTTTCTTTTCTTTTCCCTTTTTTGTCCTCTTTTT